TGAAGTTCCAATTAGCCAAAGAAACACTGGATACGATGCTGAAATCGATGTACTGTATAAGACATCAGTTGTCAAATTTGGATGAGACATAAATGAACTTTTTAATTTTTATTTATTTTTTATTATTTCATATTTATTTATTTATTCATATTTATTGTTTCAATCAAACATTTTTTTTGGGCTTTTTATAGAGGAATTTTGATCAATCAAAGATAAGTAATTTGAATCGAGTAAAATTTAAATTTTTAATTTGCGCAATTAAGACAACCAAAAAATTAATTGGTACCGAAAGGGCGGTTCAAGGGTGCTAATCCTTCCTTAACAGTAACCGACTCCCGAACCCGACATGTTTCTGGTATAACACAGATCATGTAAGATGTTGTCCGACCCACCTAAATTCGTTTTAAAGTGATCGGTGGCGACTCCTAATCCAATTATTCAAGTCAAAGTCCAATTTCGGGCCCAACCGAAAGACGGTTCCGACAATCAATAATAAATTTTAAATAATAAAAATCCAAAGTATTAAAAAAATCTAAACCGTAAACTCGAATTTAGGGATTGAAATAATTTAAGACCTCAAAATCTTAAATTAAGTACACCATTAGATTAATAAAAAAAAAGTACACCGTTAGAAAATTTTACAGAATTATCTATTGAATACATCATTAATTTAATTATTCTACAAGTGCGAGTAAAAACTTAAAAGTTGATCCCATTTAAGGGTTTATGTAAAACTAGTATTTACGATAATTTTATGAAGGTAACATTATGTGTATTGTTAATGTCTCATAAGACAAAAGGAGGGTGAATCATTGCCAAAGGAAACTTTGGCAAGCGTTTAAGATTTTTCATTTATGGTATGTACTGTTTGTTAGAAAAATCGCACGCATTAATCTGAAAATGATATATAAAAATAATAATGAATAAATATCATCATAAAAATTAAAGGGATAAAACGAGTTTACTGTCTTAAGTTTGTTGACCGAAGTAACAATCATAGACGAAATAAAACGTAAGAAAATCAAATAAAGAATTTAAACTTCATAAAGTAAATCAAAATTAAATAGAAGTAAAAATACTCTTTTTATTTTGATCAGTTGAGATCAGAATTAGTTGAGGCTTGTCGCTATACAGTTTCCTTAAGACATATTTCTGGCCACTCATTTGGTGCTCGAGTTTGTTGGTCGTCTGTCTCCTAGGATACAACAACTTATGATAAGCTACAATAGCACATCTACACATATCATGAATGATCCTTACTATCGACTATCACAAAAAAAACTAGTGAAAGAGAATATTTTCTAAGAAGAGAAAAAAAAATCAAGAGAATAAAAGTTCTTGAATTCTCAGATATTTTGAGATGTGAAAAACTAACAAGTTTGCATACTATTTATAGGGAATTTTCAAGAGAGATTTAATACAACCATATATCTTTTAATATTCAACATTAAACAGATAACAATATCTTTTAATTTGAAATATTCAAAAAATAAAACTCTTTTACCATTCAAACTTAAATATATATTCTTTTAATTTGAAATATACAAAAAATATATAATTATTTTTAATATTCAAAGTTAAAAAGATAACAAATACCTTTTTAAATTGAAATATTCAAAGAGTAATCATACTAATATTCAAATTAAACAATATATTTAATTTGCAATGGTCAAAAGGTAAACTCATTTTACTATTTAAAATAAACAAATATTATTTTAAATTGAAATATAAAAAAAGTATATAATTATTTTTAATAATCAAAATTAAAAAGTACCAAATACCTTTTTAAATTGACTTATTAAAAGAGTAATTATTCTACTAATATTTAAATTAAAAATTATCTTTTCATTTGCAATAGTCAAAAGGACTATGAATTTAATATAAATATTAAATCCATAAATTAAATTCACCCTTTTTTCAATATTGTGTGCATTGTGATTGCATTGAATTCATTGACTAGATTATTTTCTAAGATGTATTCCTAAATGTATCGGGCCTATGTTGTAATATGACAAATACTGAGTAAAAAGCTCAAACATTGTACTATGGTAAGTTAAAGAATTGTTACGAGAGTTGACAAATCAATGATTACATGTGATTACTTATTTCTTATGGTTATCTTGTTGAATACTGAATACATTTGACATGTCATAGAGTCCACAATACTTATACGAGTATTGTATAGGCTTCAATATTGATTATTGATTAGAAGGATATTGATTATTGATTAGATTTGTATCTTGGTAGAGTTGGAAGATTGATCATACTAATATGTTTTTACATTATTAGTAGATTTGTAAGGGATTTGTGCATCCTCAAAAGAGTATCATCATGCTAATATTGGCTTTATTGTTATAGGCATTGATATTGTCATTGTCATTGCCATTAATATTGCTATTGTTATTGTCATTGCCATTAATTTTGCTATTGTTATTGTTAATGACTATATAAATTTATATTGTTTGTTTAATTGTTTTTAAGACATCAATCCTCAAAGTCTAGTTCAAGATTATAACACTCAAATCCAATTCGACTGAAACCTAGTGGGTTTGGATATTACATGGGACCACCAAAGTGGCTAACCCAAAATTTTTCTTGAAAATTTTTCATATTCATAATGTAAATCATCCCATGGAAGAAAGTAAGAAACAAAATATTTAAGTTTACAAAATCGAGGAGCTCTAAAACAAATATCAAATACAAATAAATTGTCAATAGTTATGACTTGATTTATACAAGGGTCCATGAAATACATGCCCACTAAGAAAATCAATACATACTCCGCAATCCACTGATATCTGGAATCCAACTGCCTGGCGATAAGCTCCCGATCCAACACCTACTAGCATGTGAACGAAAACAATTTCGAACGCTGAGATACGAGCTCAGTGCCACATAAACGACTCCACTATACTACATGCACCCATTAGCTACAAATGCTTAACAAGTCAGGCATGATGTAATGAAATGCAACAAGCATAAATCATGGTAAAATATTATGCACTAACACATCATACGAATACATATTATGGCCTTGCCATTTCATCACGGAAGTGCCTTAGCACTAATACTAAAGTGTCTCTGCACTGATACAAAAGTGCATACACACTGATGCTAAAGTGCCTTAGCACTGATGGAGAAAACTTGAATATATTTATTCTCAATCACGAATCGAATATGCATACGCTCAAGTAACTTGGGTATTGTTGACGTTTCTCGAGCGATAAATAAAGGCTAGTCTTATGTCACATTAATAATCATTATCGTTTTCAACATTTTCTAATGATGTTCTCACTTGTAGTCTTATTAAAGAAGTCTTGATGCCCTCTTAACTCCCTTTCAAAGCTCAAGGAATTAGTTGAGTTTTCAACCGAAACCAGGATGATGATACTGATACTGGGTATGACAATATTAGTACTGACCTTGTGGTATCGATATTGCCCCGAGTATCGATACCAAAATTAGCTTCGATGTCTTGAAAATTTTATCGATATCGATACTCTTCCATGGGGGTATCAATACTACCCCGAGTATCAATACCAAAAAATGGTTTTGATGTTTCAAAATAATTCCTAGCATCGATACTCCTAATGAGAGTATCGATACTCCTAATGAGAGTATTGATACTTCTAATGAGAGTATCGATACTCTACCCTTGGTATCAGTACTCCCATGAGTACTTATACCAAAAATGGCTACTGAAATTTACAAAGCGTCACCCTTGATAGTATCAGTACTCACCCTAAAGTATCGATGCCCATTGAATGAGTATCGATACTACTAGCCTAAAATCCTCTTTTCTTAAGGGTGTACGAAGAGTAGTATTGGTATTATTCCTCCAGTACCGATATCCTTACCTAGAATTGTCTTGTTTAGGCACAAACATGATTTCTTAAAACCCTTCACAAGACTCTCTAAGGCTCTTAAACATTTGTTAAGTTTTATGAGATCAGGTTTATAGCATCATTATAAGTCATTTTAACACAGTAGAAACATCAAAACACACATTTTCATCAAAACCCACAAAGACCCACATTTGCACCCATGAACACAACAAGCAAGCAAACATAGTCTAATGACCTAAATGCTATAGATGAGAGTTAGTTATGTGTTACATTAGCACCAGCTGATGGAAGGGGCTCTAAAGATCACTTAAACACCAACTTTTCCTTGTTATTGGCCTTTGAGCTCTCTCCGAACTCCCTCACTAATCACAAACAAACAAGATGATTACAATCTTGTTTTAAAATTCCAAGTGAGTTGTAACATGATTCTAAGCACTTAGAAACAACTTAGCAGCACTCATAAGCCCTAAAATAAAAACCCCTCTAAAACCCTTATTTTGGTCACCATGGCCAAACCTTAAGATTTGGGCTAGAATGAAAGCTCTAGGGGAGGAGATTACCTTTCTTACCTTCACAAATTTGTGCTAAGAGTGTGGGACAATAAAACTGCTACCTTTGAAAGATTTGAAGATGAAAAAGAAGGAAGGAAAGATGAAGGGGAATAAGACAACGAAAAAGTCTTTCTCAACGTGTGACATATGCACAATTAAGAGGGGATCAATTTTTGTTTAAAACTATGGATAAATTGCTCCCTTGGTCCCCTCATTTTGACTCTAATTCAAAAATCCCTTTTTTAACACATTTTGGGCTTCCCCTCAAGCCCAATTTTCTTCATTCTTGACCCCAAATGTTTAAATTAGGCTAAACATCCATTAGAATTCTTGTTTAAAACTAGGGGAGTATATGAATGAGACATTAACAAATAAGATTATATTATGTTTATTTATTTATTTTTTAAGGTGTTCATGTATGCTTTGTTTTTGTTTAAATTTTTAATATCGTGTTTGTTTTATGTTTTTGTTTAGTACTTTTAGAGTTCTTAAACATGTTTGTTTAACGTTCGTGAACATATTATTTTAACATATGTTTAATGTTTGACAATCAACCTTCTTTTTTTCCATTTATTTCCATGTCAAAGAAAAATATTTAAATTACGCCACTAATCTTTAAACTCCTTAATTTTCACATTTTGACCTCTAATATTCACCATGTATTCAATTTATTTTACACCGTCACCAATATTTAAAATGTAAAAAAATAAAGAGGAAAAGAAGAATCATATAAACGAGTTGATAAATGAGCTTGCTCCCGAATATAAATGAACTGAATACAACTTTGTTCATATTCATTTGTTTATTAAATGAACAAAAAAAAAATATTCATAATCGCTTATTTAGTTTAAAAAGAATATAAATAAATATGATATGAATAATTCATTAAATTTTTTTATTTACACTTATATTTAAAATAAAATTAATTTAAAATTATATTTTGTATTATTAATTAAAGTTAAAATAACTAGAATCTCAAAAGACGTAAATATAAAATCATCACGATTTGACATCTCTAGTTGCACATCCCACATTTGTCCAAGCCTCATATGCTAAAGCAAAAGGACAGTGTTGCTTTAAAAAGTTGTAATGTTTGCTTTTATATATATATATATATATTGTGTAAATAATGATGATGGCTAGATTTATATTCAATAGTGAAAAGAGGATATAGGTTGATTCATTGAACTTCCCAAAATGGCTAAACTCGCGTAAAAATGCAGTTAAAAAAATAATTCACGTGAAAATATTCTCTAAGAATTAATTGTTCAAATGGTGCGAATCCTACAGCGCTTGTATTGATCGCCATGCAGGCGAAGCAATGCAAAGTATGTCGCCATGCAGTCGAGGTGACGTGCTACAATCGACACAGGTGGCCCCCCTTCCCTCCTGAATCAACGCCCTGTCTCCCTTACCCCAAGCAGGTCGCCATGCAGTCCCGACGTGATTCCTCGAGCAGCATATTTTGCGCTGCAAATTGCAGCAATAATTCATGCAAAGTGCAGCTGCTCACGGGTGGACCGGGGTGGATCAGAAATTATTGTTCATTCAAATTAGTGATGCAATAAATCACGGGTATTGTTTAGGGAATGGCAATATAATTGTTGTTATATATTCAGTGTGAGGGGGTTGCTCTGTTGTAAGAAGAAGAAAGAAAGGTGAAGGAAAGGAAGCAGAAAGAAAGGTGAAGGAAAGGAAGAAGAAAGGAAAAAAGGTAACGAGCATAATGTAAATTAGTTTAAATTATTAGTTAGTTATTTAGTTAGTGGGCATAGTTTAGGTTAGTTATATAATATAATAAAAATGTAGTTAATTACTTTGTTAGTTTAAGTTAGATTAATGTTGAAGAATTATATTTAATTTGTTTGTTGAATCATATTAAATTAATATACAAGGTTTATTATATGTAGTTATTTTATTAAAAAATAGTTATAGTTTAAATTATATTAAATTATTTATTATATGTCGTTTAATTTATATTAGTTTGTCAGTTTGTTGATGTTATATTATATGAAAAAAAACTAGTTAATTTGTTTTTTAGTTTGTTAGTTTAAGTTAAATTGGATTATAATAAAAAAATAGTTTATTAGTTTAAGTTATAATTTGTTATTTTTTGTTCTTGTGTAGTGTAAATTAGTTAGTTAACATTAGATTATATTAAATGATTTTTTTAAATATTGTTTTTAATTTTTTTTACAGATTCATTCGAACGACTGACCAAATTCCACTGCTGAGACTTGACAATGAACATATTTCAACTTATTTGGGAACAATGGTGTTATTCTTATTTAGTAAAATAAAATATTTGTTTAATGAATTATTATTAATAAATATTTGAATATTATTTTATGGTTATGATAAATTTTTTATATTATTTAATGGACGAGCACCGAGTCCTTCGCCATCGGCTACATAATGTGCCCAAGCCACACCGATTGATAGAGGAAAACTTGCAAGAGGCTGGATTTTGGTATGTAACATTTGTGCAAGAATACAAGTTGGTCCCAGGTTTTGATTAGTGTGTTGATTGAATGTTGGAGACCAGAAACGCACACGTTTCATTTGCCGTGTGGCGAATGTACGATAACTCTGGAGGATGTGACAATGTAACTCGGGGTCCAAACAAATGGGATATCGGTGGTAATGATACATGAGTACAATAATGTGTCACAACTTTGCAGTGCGTTTATTGGGAAAACACCCGTACCACCAGAGTGTAAAGGGTGGCGTCTAAGGTTGTCATGGTTGAAGAGTCAATTTCAGCTCCAACCAAATAGTACGGAGCAAGAAATTATATATGCAACACGAGCATATATATTGCAGTTGATTGGTGGAATTTTGATGCCAGATAAATCCGGTAATTATGTTCACACTTAATATCTTCTTTTTTTAAGAAATTTTGTGAATAGTAGGCAATATAGTTGGGGATCGGCGATATTGGTGTTCTTGTATCGTGAGATGTGCAAGGTGTCATTAGTCGTGAATGATAATAATACAGCAGAAATTGGTGGATGTCTGTTACTTCTACAATCATGGGCTTGGCATAGACTTCCATTTTTGACACCAATTAGTCGGACTGCGGTTGATTTTCCACTTGCAAGAAGGTAATATGAATTCTCTATTTTAATATAAAATTTTAATTATAAATTATTTATTTTGATTAAAAATATTGAACAAAATAGCTATATTTTTATTTTGATTGATATACAGATGGAGACATAAAATTGAAGGGACGGGGTTGGTGCACAATAATATTAAAGAGTTCATGCTGAAGATCGATATTAAGGGCAAAAAAGAGGTATGTATAATCTGTTATTATTAATTATTATTTAAATTAACTATATTATTTGATTTAAATCACTTTTATTGTTATTTTAATTTTGCAGTTTTATTGGAGACCATATGTAGATGAAGAAAGTTTTGCATGTGTGTCGCACGATGTTTTTGATGGGTTTCAAAATTGGTGTGTTGTTACACCATTGATCAATTTTGCTTTTGTTGAGATCCAATTTGCGGATAGAGTGCTGAGGCAATTCACCTTCCACCAACCTATTCCGCAGAGTCCATGGGATCATGACCTCCTCCAAAACTTAGATGGTCGTCGTTAGGTGAATTGGGATGAGACGCATGACCACCTGCACAGATTTGATGGTTGCCTTAAAGAAAAGGTGAATTGGGTTGAGAAGCATGCAACATATATTAATGCTTGGAACAATAGAGCTTCATTCTTGCCAACTCGTGACCCCGTTCAAGACGATGACTTTAATTTTGAGACTTCGGCTTACCTAGATTATTTTTGGGATAATGGAAAGCCGTTCTTGACAACAAGGGTAGAGAGGCGACAATTTTTTAGTATTAAGAAAAGATTTGGTAAAGCTGAGTACTCTCTACCGAGTGGGAGTGGGAGTTCATCTCAACAACCTGAAGCAGAAATAACTGATGTGGATAATAGCGCACCACAACCATTTGGCGATGCGAGAGCGTTGCATCACGCATTTGATGATTCTACTGTCTCGACATACGTACCAGAGTTTTTGCAGCCTGAGGCACCCATCAACTCTCTCATGTTTGAGTCGACGTATGACTTTGACCAAATGACATATATGATGTCAAATATCAGTATTTGTTAGTCAACGTTTGCAAGTGAGATGGAAGAGCAAACTGGTGGAATGGCCTTAATGAATGAGGAGGATGGGTACCATGCTCCTGAGCAACCGCAACGGCCACAACGCATCAGACGTCCGCCCAGACATTATCATTCAACAACACCCCGGCAACGACAACAATTGTAAACTTATTTGTTATTTGTTACAAATTAAATATTGAAATTAGACTAGTTTTTAATCATTAACTATTAAATAAACTTGTACTATAACCTATTATGTTCAATAATAACATTATAACGTTAAAAATGAATTGATAACCTTAAATTAAAAACTATTTATAAATATTATAATATTAAATATGCATGTCTCTACATGAAATATAAAAAATAAATTTGACTAGTTATAAATTCGATTTAAATTGAATAAATTATATTAAATTGTTTAATTATTATTAAATAATTATTAGTAACCATTATTAAATCATTAGTATCAAATCATAGTCGTACCCCAAACCTAATGATCAATATATAACCCTAAACCGGTCCCATAAACCCTAAATTTGATGCAATAATTCATATATTTTTAATGCTACTATTAAAACGTGCAAATCATGTAGGCATGCATGAGCAAAATAATGCTCCATATCACACGACTATAATTGGTAAACCGGCCCATAAACTATAAATTAATCCCAACACAGACCACCTTTGTCGCATTCCATATCACGCCTGCAATTTACGTTAATTGTTGGTGCAAATAGCGTCGAAATTTTTCGTAAAATTAGTGTTGAATTTCTTGTAATAGGGAGACAATGCGTTGATTCATGAGGGAAGGAGGCCATCTGTGTCGATTGCAGCAGAATCACTACAAGCTTCACGGGAGAAGTAAATTTGCTTGGTATTAACTATAGCTTTCGCTTTCCTTGACTTTTATCCTTGTTATTTCTATTTTGGCTTCAACTGTTAAATTTTGTCTGCACTACTTCACATGAATTGTTGTTCGTGTTGTCGTGTATCAAAACAAGGTCGCCCCGACTACATGGCGACCTACTTGCTTCGTCCGACTGTTTGCTTCGCCCCGATTGCATGGCGACCTTCAAGCTTCGCCTCAACTGCATGGCGACCAATACGAGTACTATATCATTTGCACCATTTGAACAATTAATTCTTGGAGAGGATTATCACATGAAATTTATTTTTCCAGTGCATTTTTACGTGAGTTTAGCCACCCAAAATCCTTGCATGGATTAGTTTAAAAATAGAGGAAATAGATTCAAGTGTGAGTTAACTAGATCCACCATATCAGCTTTACTCTATTAATATTGCACCTCCGAGTTAAGGGTTTTACACACACATATCACTTAACTTTAATACTTGTATCGATTTTATTATTTAACTTTTAAAATATTTAATTTTAACATTAGGGTCCATTTGTTTCACAAAAAACAAATTCCGGAAAATGAATCCCGTAAAATGATTTATATATTTTCTGAAAAACAATTTTTGGAAATCATTTTACGGTGTTTGGATGATGTTGTGTAATTTATTTTTCACTAGTTGATAAATTTTTAAAAAATTCATAACTATAAACATCAAATATAATAAATAATATTATTTATTAAAAAGGATAATAATATTTTTAAAATATTAATATAATTTATTCAATATTATTTATGTAAATATTATTATTAAAATATTATATCTATAATTTTATAAATAAAAATATTATGATTATTATATTTTATTAAAATAAAATTATTATAAATTATATTGATTATTTATTAAAAAGGAATAATATAATATATTATTAATATATTATTTATTAAATAATATTATTATTAAAATATTAAAAATTAAAATATTAAAATAAGATATTATATTATATTTTAAGGAGTGTATATTAAATATTCAACAATTCAATAATATTATTTTTATAAAATTAAAAAATAATATTAATTTTATTAATAATTTATTATATATTATTAAAATAAATTTATAATATTACATATTATAATAATATAATTATAACAATAAAATATTATATTATATTATATTATTAAAATTATCAATAAATATAATTTAATAATTAATATTTTTTTTATTAAAAATGATACTAAAAATATATTAATATTAAATATATAAAATAATAATGTTTTGAGTGTTTATGATTTGAAGTGAAAAGTTCGTAAAAGGACTTACGAAAAATCAGATGGTAAGTCGTTTTTTTAAAAAATACAAAAGAAATTCACTTGAACAGGAAAATGAATTACATTGACCATCTATTTTCCGCCAACAAAAGACTAAAAAATAAAGAAAACATTTTTCGAAAAACCAATTGCAGGTAAACAAGTAGACCCTAAGCTTTAGTGTCGACTTCAATTATAGTATTGTGACGTTAATTCATTCACATCCAAATGACATGATAGTTTGGGAGCTTATGTGAAAACTAAAAAAATAGTTTTTTATTTCATCATATCATCTTCATTAAACTTAATGGTTTTTCACTCATTTTTAGCTATCATAAAAAAATCACCATTCTTCGACTTCTTTTGCGACCATTCTAGACACTGCTAAACTTGTCTTGTCATTCTTTATCACATTTTTTTGTTTAACTTTTCTCAAAAAAATTTTAAATCTCAAAAAATTTAAAAAAATCTATCATTTTGTGGGTTTTGTGGTGTTTCTTTGAAAATCTGAATGATGACAAGCATTCTTTCAAGAACACTAACAACATACCTTGTAACTAATCTCATCAAACGATCGTAGAAGGAGATTGAAGTATTAGAATGTTGAACATTTAAACGAATTTTCATCAATTTTAAGTGACTTTAATGAAAAATCGATTTGAGGAGAAAAAAAAGAGAGGAGTGAACTGCGAATATTTTAGTACCTACTGCGAATGGTGACTAGTGACGGGACGCAATTGCCTGACAATGATGGTAAGAGTAGTTGCTAGGGTTGTAAATGAGACAAGACAAATCGTGAGCTACTCGAGATTGACTTGATCAAAGTTCGATAAATAATCGACTCGAGTTCTTGACGAGTCGAAACGAGATACTTGATACTTGACTCGAAAAGCTCGTGAGCAGCTTGAAAATATAATATATTAAGATTTTATTTTTTTAAAAATAAATTATTAATAATATTAATATTTATGTGTTGATTTTTTTTATAAAAAATATTGTATAAGGTTTTCATGTATTTAAGGTTCAAGTTCGAGTTCGAGTTTGAGGCTTCAATCGAGTTAAGTTTAAGATTTTTTTCCCATTTCGAGCTCTTATGAGTTTTAGTTCATGATTTCGAGTTCGAGTCGAGCTTGAAAATTTTAGGCTCATGAGTTTTCGAATTCAGTCGAGCTTCATTTTAGAGTTTTCAAGTCGAGTCCAACTCAGTAATACTCGAGCTCGACTCGGCTCGTTTATTGCCCTAGTAGTTGCATGGGTCAAAAACATATACTAACTAATGTTTAGTGTCTAAAAAGGAAGTGTTTTAAAGTTTAATGACGAAATCGATATATAAACTAAAGTTCGCTGGAAAGAATACGACAATGTCATCGTGCCGTTAACGATTTAACTGTTCAGTGCTATAATTGAGGTCAAAATAAAAATTCAGTGTTAAAATTAAAGCCTTTTAAAATTTAATAATAAAATCGATATAAATCCTAAAACTTGGATGATATCATATATTATATTTTTAATTACTATATTCTAACTCATTATATTTTAAATATTATAATAATATATTATATCAACTTAATTAAGACTAAAATCAATTCTTAAAAGAGATTGTACTTAATACAATTTATATCAATAGCATTGTATCATATTGAAGCTTTAATACATTTCCAGATGGAACATAAGCCTTATAAACAACAACAACAAAACACAATGCTGTCACCCTTCCATCTCTTTCTTACAAATTCATCAACCAAAACTTGGGTACTTTTTAGGACAATCAAATAAACTAAGACAAGTAAGCAGCCGCTGCTCTATGACTACTTGGAGAAAAAAGAGAAGCAACAGAATTGACAATCCCGACCAAGATAGTCACTTTTACTTTACCCCTCCTTGGGATCGGACGTCCGGCGGTCCTCGGCGATAAGTTGCCGCCGTTCATCCTTTCTCTCCTTGCTCCGGCCATTCCTTCTTGCAAAGATCTGAGAGATGAAAACAACACAGAGAGGTTCTGTCGGAAAATCTATGAGTTTTGATTTGCTGGGTGAGTAAGAGTTTGTGTTGTGTGAAGAGCAGGTTATCCTTCGCCCATTACATTATATAAAGTGAATAACAAATCATTGCCCTTTGTTTGTTACAAATATTACACTCATGCCCCTTATAATGAGTTTGACTGTATTGTCCTGTTCGTTTCTGTGAAACTGTTGCATTAACTCCATGAACTCTGCTGGTCTTCCCTCTGTTGGGTCCATTTCGTATCACAATCTTTTCACTTTGCGCATCAAAACACCTCGATAATAAAAGAATCTTATTTGGGTAAAAAACAGCTTTAATCACTTATTTATTAGCATATTACTTTTATAGTCATCAAACTTCAAACATTTTCAATTTAATCACTAATACTATCAATCTTAATCAAGTAGTTTAAAGAAAAAGTATGGAAGAAAGAGATGGAATCGAGGATATTGTGGAAATACGGGGTTTAGGGAAATAGTTGTGCCAATCCTTGAAACGGAAAATTGATATTTGTAAAATCATGTAAGGTTTTGAGCTTCTTAATTTCCTTGCAGGTGTGTTTTGCTATTCGTTGTTCTCTTGCCTATCGATTCTGATGATTTTTATCTCTATTTATGCTTCTGTTTCTTTCTAGATTGTGTTATTTTGTCTGCTAATTGGTTGTTGCTTGTTGTGATGAAACTCATTGATGAATTGGATGAGGTTTACGATGAATATGTATTTGATGATCATATTGATAGAATTTATAAATGTTAATAATTAATTTCATTAAACTATTTAAATTGATGATCAAATTAATAGATTATGTAAATATCGAAGACAAAAAAGTTTATACAGCTTTACACGCTAAATCATTTGATTTTCTCCTCTTGGAGTAATTAAATTAGTTCTGTAGGCGGAATTATAAATTTTGAGATTTAAAATTATTATATTATTTTTTTGGTTAGACTCAAAAATTAATGATCGATAATCATTTTATAATTTTTGATAACATGTGAGCGGTGCATTTATGATTTTTTATAATCTAATGACTTTATTAGAAAACAACTTACTATTAAAATGCTAGCTACATAATTTATCTTTAGCAATATCTATTTGTGAAAAAAAAATCCATCAACTCCTAAAATAAGTTTCATCGAGTGTCGCATTCATTTTCGTAGTAGTAAATCTAATCGTTTGAACTTTTCAATATAAAATAAAAGAATATGATTCTATAATTGAATATTGAAAAGGCTGAGCTGGTCCATTTAAAGACAGCAGACAACAAAGATTCGTGTCTTAATTATAATAATATAAAGTAATGCTAAAAGGTTTTTTTAGTGTGAAGTTTAATAATTATGATGTCATGTCTGCATTTAAATTTTAAATCACATGTTCCATTGCGTTCCCATTAACTATTATTGAGCAATAAATTATTAAGTTAATCTTTATATATTCATTAAACTTCTAGAAATCGTTGCATAATAGTAATAATAATAATAATAATAATGGGTGAGTCTAAATATTCAAAATAATTTACTAAATATACTATTTTTTTGGTTATTTTAATAAAGGAGTAGGGTGTATGGGCGGAAAAAAAATAAAAAATGGGCAAATGGGTTATGCTAACTTGCGCCGGGTTGGGGGAGCTTTGTTAATGTGTGCCGCACGGTTGGAATCGATCAAAAGTCTCATATCTTCTACAATTTTGTTCGATTAAAAACATTTATGATAACTGAAAATTCAAAGAAAAATAAAATTAATATGTAACAAAAAATTAAATTAAATTAAAATTGAAATAATTTAAACAAATTGAAAAATAAAATGAGTTGCCTCGCATAAAACACTTTGTTTAACGTCGTTAGGCAACCCATTTTATTTTCAGATTTGTTTAAATTATATCAATATCAATTTACTTTTATTTTTTTGTTACATATTAATTTTATTTTTCTTTGAATTTTCAATTATCACAAATATTTTTAAGGGTAAGTCTAAATATACCAAACAATTTACTAAGCATACTAACTTTTTGGTTTTTTAATAAAGGTGTAAGGTGTATGAGCGACAAAGAAATAAAAAATGGGCAAATGAGTTATGTTAACTTGCGCCGGGTTGGGGAGATTTGTTAATGTGTGCCGCACGGCTGGAATCGATCAAAAGTCTCAGATCTGTTACAAATTTGTTCGATTAAAAATATTTTTGATAATTGAAAATTCAAAGAAAAATAAAATTAATATGTAAACAAATAAAAATAAATTGAAATTGAAATAATTTAAACAAATCAGAAAATAAAATGGGTTGCCTCCCATAAAGCACTTTGTTTAACGTTGTTAGACAACCCATTTTATTTTCCGATTTGTTTAAATTATATCAATTTCAATTTTATTTTATTTTTTTGTTACATATTAATTTTATTTTTCTTTGAATTTTCAGTTATTACAAATATTTTTAAGGGTGAGTCTAAATATACCAAACAATTTACTAAACATACAAACTTTTTGATTTTTTTTAATAAAGGTGTAGGGTGTATGGGCGGCAAAGAAATAAAAAATAGGCAAATAGGTTATGCTAACTTGCGCCGGGTTGGGGGAACTTTGTTAATGTGTACCGCACGGCTGGAATCGATCAAAAGTCTCAGATCTGCTACAAATTTGTTCGATTAAAAATATTTGTGATAACTGAAAATTCAAAGAAAAAAATTAATATGTAACAAAAAATAAAATAAAATTGAAATAGAAATAATTTAAACAAATCGAAAAATAAAATGGGTTGCCTCCCATAAAGCACTTTATTTAACGTCGTTAGGCAATCCATTTTATTTTTCGATTTGTTTAAATTACATCAATTTCAATTTAATTTTATTTTTTGTTACATATTAATTTTATTTTTCTTTAAATTTTCAGTTATCACAAATATTTTTAAAGGTGATTCTAAATATACCAAACAATTTATTAAACATACCAATTTTTTTAATAAAGGTGTAGGGTGTATGGGCGGCAAAGAAATAAAAAATGAGCAAATGTGTTATGCTAACTTGCGCCGGGTTGGGGGAGCTTTGTTAATGTGTGCCGCATGGCTGAAATCGATCAAAAGTCTCAGATCTGCTACAAATTTATTCGATTAAAAATATTTGTGATAACTGAAAATTCAAAGAAAAATAAAATTAATATGTAACAAAAAATAAAATGAAATTGAAATTGAAATAATTTAAACAAATCGAAAAATCAAATGGGTTGCTTCCCATAAAGCACTTTGTTTAACATCGTTAGGCAACCCATTTTATTTTTCGATTTATTTAAATTATATCAATTTCAATTTTATTTTATTTTTTCTTACATATTAATTTTATTTTTCTTTGAATTTTCAGTTATCACAAATATTTTTTCGGGTGAGTCTAAATATACCAAACAATTTACTAAACATACAAACTTTTTTGTTTTTTTTAATAAAGGTGTAAGGTGTATGAGTGACAAAGAAATAAAAAATTGGCAAATGAGTTATGTAATTTTATTTTTCTTTGAATTTTTAGTTATCACAAATATTTTTTCGGGTGAGTCTAAATATACCAAACAATTTACTAAACATACAAACTTTTTTATTTTTTTAATAAAGGTGTAAGGTGTATGGGTGACAAAGAAAATAAAATGGGTTGCCTCCCATAAAACATTTTGTTTAACATCGTTAGGCAACCCATTTTATTTTCCGATTTGTTTAAATTATATCAATTTAATTTTATTTTATTTTTTCTTACATATTAATTTTATTTTTCTTTGAATTTTCAGTTATCACAAATATTTTTTCGGGTGAGTCTAAATATACCAAACAATTTACTAAACATACAAACTTTTTTGTTTTTTTAATAAAGGTGTAAGGTGTATGGGTGACAAAAAAATAAAAAATGGGCAAATGTGTTATGCTAACTTGCGCCGGGTTGGGGGAGCTTTGTTAATGTGTATCGCACGGCTGGAATTGATCAAAAGTCTCAGATCTGCTACAAATTTGTTCGATTAAAAATATTTGTGATAACTGAAAATTCAAAAAAAAATTAATATGTAATAAAAAATAAAATGAAATTGAAATTGAAATAATTTAAACAAAACGGAAAATAAAATGGGTTGCATCTTATAGAGCACTTTGTTTAACGTCGTTATACAATCCAATTTATTTTTCGATTTGTTTAAATTATATTAATTTCAATTTAATTTTATTTTTTGTTACATATTAATTTTATTTTTCTTTGAATTTTCAGTTATCACAAATATTTTTAAGGGTGAGTCTAAATATATTAAACAATTTACTAAACATACAAACTTTATGGTTTTTTTAATAAAGGTGTAGGGTGTATGGGCAGCAAAGAAATAAAAATAGGCAAATGGGTTATGCTAACTTTCGTCGGGTTGGGGGAGCTTTGTTATTGTGTGCCGCACGGCTGGAATCGATCAAAAGTCTCAGATCTACTACAAATTTGTTTGATTAAAAATATTTGTGATAACTAAAAATTCAAAGAAAAAAATTAATATGTAACAAAAAATTAAATTAAATTAAAATTTAAATAATTTAAGCAAATCGTAAAATAAAATGGGTTGCCCCCATAAAGCACTTTGTTTAACGTCATTAGGCAACCCATTTTATTTTCCGATTTGTTTAAATTATATCAATTTCAATTTTATTTTATTTTATTTTTTGTTACATATTAATTTCATTTTTCTTTAAATTTACAGTTATCACAAATATTTTTAATCGAATAAATTTTTAACAGATCTGAGACTTTTGATTGAATAACCGTAATTTCTAATGACTGGAATGATTTTTCATGCAAAAAAAAATCAATCTCACAACCCATTTGCTCATTTTTATTCCTTTTCCGTCTATACACCCTACACCTTTATTAAAAAAATAAAAATTTGGTATGTTTATTAAAAGTTGGTATCTTTAATAGTGCAGGTGAACATCATCGTAATTAGATTAATGAAAAAAAGCATCGTAACTAGATCT